ATAGAGAAATAGAGATAGATCAGTCTCAGCTCATTTGGTTGAACTTTCCGACTATGTGCCGAAATTAACTTTTTTTTCACTCCGGGCACCCAAACTTTCCTCACACGAAGCACTATTTTCAAATTATTGCAAGTAATATAAAGTATTTATGACCTATGACCACATTGTACTACTTTTGAATTCGATAGGATAAGTTTAAGTGCTCCACTTTCAATCTTCGCACATCCAACACGAAAGTTGCGCTACTCTATAAAGCCGATGCAATTCTTACCACAATAATCTACTCATTTCTGAACTTGTCTCGCAATTCTGGAATGGCGGTGATATCTGCCATTAGTCTTACGAGGACATCAACCAGCTGGGCAGAGCCATATTAACAAATTGTTCATGCATGCCACCGAATGGTGATCCTTAAGACGTTTGGAGGGGTCGCTGTCAAAAGGGGCATATCTCGTTGGTAATTTTTGATTGATGTTGCCATTGGAACGGATTTTTTACTGAAGCTTTCTTCCAGATGAATGTTTCTTAGCTACTCAGAAGTTACTTACTGCTGCTTGAAATGGCCACTCTCAGATAAATGAAAAGAAAATCTTTCCCCACTTAAGGGAGCTTCTACATATGACTCTATCCTGAAATTGATTGAGTACAGGGAAAGACCAAGTGGTGAAGAACCTGACTGTACTTGGTATTTCCAATTGATGTCAAACAGTGAAAGGAAGAAATGAATGGCGCGCTGTTGTTGACTCGGCGTAAGCGGTGACTATGCCAGTAAAGAACAAGAAGAAGAATCCTCTCATACAAGAATCTCAATGTATCCATTCTCCGAGTCTCGACAATAACTATTAAGCTTGAGTGACAGTTCAACTAGAAGATGTTTTTTCCAAATAAATTAATCATTTTCAATATATAAGCTTTTACCAAAATCCACATGAAACGGTTTTTTGTTTACAATTTTTTGTGCGCTTTCAAACAATCACTTTATTTTATTTATAAAACAATATTTGCTAATTCTTTCAACAAACAATCATACATACTTACATATGTACAGTGCGCTGACGGAAAATAAACTGTGATGGATGACTTTCACTCACAATACACACACGAAGGCAAGCAAATATATATGTTAAAAATATATTAAATAAATTCAATGTCCTAAATTGAAGGACTACTCTCGTATCTATGTACATCATACATATGTATGTTGGAGAATGTTTGCGTAAATTGTGCGCATTTGTGCGTGTCAACAAGGTATAAATAGTCATCAATACTAGAAAATGACACACACATATATATGTATGTATGTAATATATGTACAGAGATGAGTTTGTCGAAAGAAAAAGATATGTTAAAAGGATTTGTGACATTTTCGCTAACAACACGCCCAGAATAGATAAATATACATGAATAAACAAATGCCTCTAAGTATATATGTAAAGCACTCCCAACTGGAACTGATTTCAGGATTAAAAGAGAATTATTGCATTTGTGATCATTTGAAGGACTCTTCCATAAGTGCCATTACTGTTAATATTAAATACCAGGACTACATTAGATTTACTTGGAAATCATACAGACACTAGTTTAGTATCACTTTCCAGATTGGTGAGGGTTTCTACATCAATAATTTTCTGACTTTCTCGGAACTAGTTCAAGACTAGTTATACACTTTTATGGGCCTACTTAGATAGATATTGAAGAAAAATAAAAAGAAATTAATTTCGATTTAAATTTTCTAGTAGCTACTCCGGAACTAGTTCAGGCTTGGTTTGGGACCAGTTGATGACTACTAATTTTTCAGTACAAATTTAATAATTTTTTTCATAAACTTAATAATGTTGATTGCAGGTTTTTAGTTTTTGCCATTTTAATTTATTTTTGGTTTTTTTTTTTGGATATCCTTGATCCTTGGTACATTTTAGCTCTAGAGGTGGCTATTCAATCTAAGCCCCATCATCCATGACTCTAAAGCATAAGCAAAAACAACTACACTTTTGATAACTAAAAGTCTACTTTGTCATTCTTAAAAACTTTTGACTGGGTCTATGGACATTCAAATTGTATGTGGAATGATTTTCATAGAGAAAAAATTTCACTTACAGAAAACAATCAATAAAAGTAAAATCAACAAATGTTTTGGTAGTTCGAGGCTTTTAAGTAGGAAAAATACGCATATGTATGTACATATTCGTACACATACACATACATATATGATCTAGTGTGAGTTTATGTCTGACGATTGTTAGTGGTTTTTGTATTTGTTAAGCAAACGCAAACAAGTTGTCAACATCATATTTAAGCGCGATTAAGTATATAAAAAAAGGATTTAGATGTCGCATTAAGATATCAATGAAAAGTGTACATACACACACACACACTCTTCCCCTAAATTCATACCTATTTACTATGAAAGACGAATTGTGAGGATATTAGACTGTATAAACGTTTTTCTAATGTAACAGAGCGTATAAACAGTTTTTTTTTATGTGCGTGTTTCATTGTTGTGCAAGAAGATTGATAATTTGTTGAATTGTCGACCCTACACAGTAGTGGATTGGTAAACAATATCAAAAAAGGAGTTGTGTGAAGCATGAGGATATCGCTTATGGCATGCGTATACCATACGAATGGCAAAATAAAACGAAAAGAAATTCAATTTTATTGTTTATTTGTGGGCGGATTAGTTGGCATTTGATTGAGCGATTTTTAAAATCCCTTTGATGGTCGAAATGTATCGCTCAAAACCGATGTGCGACAATTTATTTCCGTTCCACGCTAGAAAATGGAAATAACTGTTGCTTTAATTTTGTGTGATAATGATTTTGTTGGAAATCAAAAATACATTTTTTTTCTATTTTTGTGTACGAAAATATTTTTCATCTCATACGTGTTTATTTTACTTTATGGATTACATATTACTATTTTTTAATTCTATTTGAACTATTTTTTGTTGTATTTTATTATATTTTATTTTAGTTATTTTATATTATTTCATTTCATTAATTTTATTTAATTTATTCTAATTTTATTTTGTTTTTATTGTATTTTATTCTATTCTTTTTTATTTTATTTTATTTTTTTTTTGTTTTTAATTTTATTTTACTTTATTTTATATTTTATTTTATTTTATAATATTTTATTTTATTTTAATTCATTTAATTTTAATTTATATTACTTTATTTTTTTTTGTTTTTAATTTAATTTTATGTTATTTTATTTTATTTTATTTCTTTAATTTGGTTTAATTCAATCTAATTTGATTTTGTCTTAATTTTGCTTTTATTTTGTTTAACATTGTGTTATTTTATCTTTTAGGTTTTTATTTTATTTTGTTTCATTTTATTTTATTTTATATTATTTCATTTTACTTTATATTATAATATTTTATTTTGTTTTACCATTTTTATTTCTAGTTTGTTTTGGTTTTGTATTTTATTTTGCTTCATTTTATTTTAGTTTGTTTTTTTTTTTTAATTTTTATTTTTTTTTATATTTTACTTTACTTTATTTTATTTTATTATATTTAATTTTGTTTGAATTTGTTGTATTTTTATTTTTGTTTTATTTTACTTTGTTTTATATTATTAAACTTTATTTTATTTTAATTTACTTTATTTTATTTAATTTTAATTTTATTTATTTCTTATTTTTTATGGTATTTGATTTTGGTTTTTTATTTTAACTTGTTGCATTTTATTTTATATTGTTTCATTTTAATTTCATTTAATTTCATTTAATTTAATTAATTAATCTATTTTAATGAAATTTTATTTTATACAAATTAATTTTTTTATTTGATTTTATTTTCCCTTATTTAATTTTAATTGATTTTATTTTTTTATAACATTTATTTGTTATTTTAAATTTTGTTGTATCTCTTATTTTCTATTTTTTATGTTGTTTCGTTCCATTTTATTAAATTTTATATAAATTTTTATTTATTTATTTTATTTATTTTTATTTATTTATTTTATTTTTATTTTATTTTATTATATATTAATTGAATTTTTTTAATATTTTTTTTTTGTTTTATTTTTTTATTTTATTTCTTATTTTTTATGATATTTTAATTTAGTTTTTTATTTAATTTGCTTGATTTAATTTATTTTATTTTCATTTAATTTAATTTATTTTATTTTATTTCAATTTTATTTTACTTTATGTCGTTTTATTTTCTGTTATTTGATTGAATTTGATTTAATTATGTTTAATTTTAATTGATATCATTATATTTTGTTCTATTTTATTTTAATTGATTTTATTGTGTTTTATTATACTAAGTTTTATTTTATTAAATTTTATTTTATAAAATTTTTCATTTTATGTAATATTATTTAATTTCCATTTTTTATGACGTTTAGTTCTATTTTACTTTAATTTATTAGATTTTTTGTTTTTTATTTTATTAAATGAAATAATTTAATTATTTTTTTTTTAATTTAATTTAATTTTGGTATCTATTATTTGATTTGATTATATATTAGGTAATTCTTTTAAATTATTTTGATTTAATTTAATTTTAATTTTCTTATTTTTTTTGTTTTATTTTTTTATTTTATTTCATTTGCTTTTTTTTAGTAAATTTAATCTAGTTCAGTTGTGATTATTAGTTATTTAGTTGTTTATAATTTTTTATTTTCACTTTATTTAAATTTTTTTTAAATTATTTTATATTTTGATTTCTTTCGGTTTATTTAATTTATTTATTTTATTTGTTTTGCTTATTTTTGTTTCATTTATTTTTGTTATTGTTTTAAATTTTATTTAACTGAATTTCATATTATTTAATTTAATTCAGTTTATTTAAATTAATTTTATTTGATTTTCTTCTGATTTGATTATTTATTGTGCTAAACTTTATTCATCTGTTCACAAATGTCTTGTATTTTTTTTTTAATAAAAACGATTTTTTTTTTGCGAATTTAATATTTTTGGATATTTGTCACCAGAAATTCAACTAATGATTTCCTTACTTTATTTTTGCTTCTTTTTCTCTTCCGCAGGCTCTCTGCGGTGTGGTCTTCCAAGTTCCTACAATGTCCGGCGATCGTTTGCGTATTAGCACCATGCAGGAGATTATCAAACCGAACACGGTGAAGCGTATACAAGGCTACGGTCTGCCCTTCCCTAAGGATACAACGCGAAAGGGTGATCTATTGGTCGCATTCGATATACAATTCCCCGACAAGTTGACACTCTCCCAAAAAGAATTGATCAGGGATATATTTGTTGATAAATAGCATGAGGCGGGTGCGGAGGGGGTTAAGGAGAGTGTAGATTATGTGGGTAAATTAGTGACAGGACTAAATATAAAGTGAATAAATTAATTGTATTGTTCCTTTTGAAAAATGAAAAAACCAACCCACAACTACATTGGCAAAAAAAAAGCAAGAGCGTGTGTTAAACTAAAAAAAAAAAAATATAACAACAAAGAGATCAAACAGTAGTGTGAGAATTTATCGAAAACGAATTTTGCTAGACAATTATGAATCCAAACTTTCGTAATAAACTAACACGCTTTCTTTAGCAAATATTTTGATATTTTACTGTTTCGAATTCACGCGCTCTCGCTTTGGCTCTCTCTCCCCTCTACCACCCAACCATGGCGCGGCATATGTATGTACGGACATGCATGCTCGGATATGTCGTTTTTTTTATCTATTAAATATATAATTTCTTCTCTTTCTCTCTCACTCTCACTGTATCTTTCTAAACTTTTTTGTTTGTGACAAAAATTACTTATTTTTATTTTCTAGATTTTATTTAAATTAAAATTAAAAAGAAATATTACTTTGTGTAAAGCAACTAAAATTACATATATATATACATATATTAAATGATACATCTTTACGTCCTCTTTTAATTTTAATTTATAATTTAATTTTTTTGCAATAACATTAAATTATTTAGAAAAACACTAAATTGTTGTAGTCTTAATTTAGTAGGTTTGGTATTTAAGGTATACATTGTTATTATTTTTGCTCATCTCACTGCATCCTTTAGTTCTCCCAATGCTTGGGGAGTAGCTTGTACGTGCGACGTTGCCAATTTTCATTATAGAAACCTTTCGTTTATGATTTTAGCTTTAGAAAATTTTGATCGGGGGTTAGATACGATGATTGTAAGGGCTGAAATAAGATGGAGGGATTGTAAATGGTTGTCGGACTACTAACAGCTGGTTATAGCTTTATCTAATCCATGCGAGAATCGTGGTCGAAGGAAAAATCAATATAAGAAGTCCACTCGGAAGGCAAGGCAAGCCACTGTTTAGATCATGTAAAAAACTTAAGGAAGGTTTAAGGGTTGCCGAGTTGCGTGCACCGAAACATTTGGACCCAAATAGACCCATGGTGATACCACAAAAATATATGTGGCCCTGGATATGCTCTTCAATCCATTTGAAGAGGTTATCTATGAGAGTAACTCCTATATGTCGAAGTACATTTGCTTAGTCTAGGCTGATTGCATAGCGTATCGCAAATCAAGTCATAATAAATATTTGCAGCCTCCTCAGCATATTTTACAAGCAACTTTCAGCCTTTTCCGTCGTATCAATCAAGTAATGTCGTATCAGTACCTCTAGCTTGAGAAATATCTTTACTTTTAGGGTTGTATAAGCATCACGAACTCTCAGGTCTTATTTCTTCCAAGTTGGCCTCGAACACTAGTCTTGTTCTTCTGTAAACTAATTCCTTTTGTACCCCGAGCGACGCATTGCCTGTTCTGCAAAGCTATACCAGCTCGATTCTGGAGTTTGTCGTGATCGACCTTAGAGCTTTTACATCGGGTAAGTATAAAAACAATTAGGTCCCATATTACACTCGATATATGAAGTTGTATTGGAGCGAGGTCTGTCATTCGGGTATGGAATTATAGTTTTAATCCTATACTCAATTCCTACGCTTGCGTTCTCATCTCTCGCCATGGAAACGTGAACAACATTTTAGCGAGATGAGGTAATCAACCGCTGGGCAGCCTTGGACTACCAACATATTCGGTTTAAGTGTTCACTGAAGTCATATCGAAGCGCTTATAGAGAGAGTTGCCGGTATTAAAGCTAATGGCGCGTTTGAAAAATGTATTCAAAATGTAAACCTATTTGCGTATCTTTAGTTGTGCGGTGGGTTAGGGACCCACCACGTGAAAACCAGATACAATGAAGAAGAGACAACTGCTTCGCATGGCGAACGTTCAGAAGATGATGATTTGTAGAGTCACATCTGTGTGGCCGCTGCTCAGCTGATTGAGGACCTCGATAAAACTAAGGCTCACATCAAGCTACACGTATTTAAGAAACTGGGTCATATAAAGACCAAGAGCAAGATTGGTTTTGGATTTGTACAATAGTAGAAGAGAGACTCAGACGTCGAGTACGGTCATTCATAGCGGCGGATGATAAACTTGTCACAACCCGCATCAAAGGATATAGAAAATGTTGCGACCGAAGAACGCACCTAAGTACGTGGCCCTCTCTACAATGCGGAGAAAGGTTTAGCGACTCCGCCGTGGACGTTTGATTACAGAAAAGTACACAAACAAATATATTTTCTTATAAAAGATTATACATTTTCTAATTAGCTCTGCAGATCGTGTGAAAAAATTATAAGAAAGAACTGTGTTTGAAGTATCGTTCCGTATCGAATGACTCGGAGAGGCCCTACCAAACTCTTACTGCGCTACAAGTATTGCTTAGCGGGGATTCACATAGATGCAGATGGTGTGTGTCTATGCTTTTTTCACGGGTCTTTTCCAGGGTTTGACACATGGGAATATCTGGCCAAATATTGTTTGAAAATCCGTCTAATATTCCTTGCGGTCGTGGATGTCGGGCAGCGGCTACTGGAAATAATTTACTCAAGCAAGGTGAGGAGTGACCTCATGAGGTACTGCGCAGTGTAGTGGAATGGATTTTTAACAGAAGGTACTCTAGAACTCACATATAATATATATTTGGAGTTGACATTTTGTAACCCCTGAAGTGATTTTCGGCCGAATTCCATCTCCAATTTGCGGTTTTGCGTCTGGATGTTTTTCCAACAAATGGAGGGACCTACAATTTATACTAAGCCGCCTCGGAATGGCTTATGGTTTTTTTTTGTGAGGAGCCTTTATTTCATGTTAGAAGTACATTCAAAACCTAGAAAGCCATATACCTATAAAAAAAGGAAAAGAAAAAGGTGCCCAGAAAAAAACAAGCTGGATTCGAGCAACAGTAGAACATCCGTCGGCGGTAAGTCGTATTGGTATGCAAATCGTTCTCAAAGGAAGCAAAACTCGTTATGCGAACATACATACATACGTGCACACTCAACTATCTAGATGTAGGCGTTCAATATTAATAAGCGCGATAATAACCTCATCTTTTCTCAACACTCACGAACATACGGGGATTTACATCAAATCAAATTTCTTATAATAAAAGTATGTTAATATATGGATACATACATACATGAGTACATAAATATGTGTGTTAGTTGCATTTAAATGCCGAAATGCTCCCATCTTCCGTGGGGATGATTTATAATTTCATTGTGAAAATAAATTTGATATTTCCACCGTGAAGATTGGACTACATATTTAATATGCGCACGCATATCCCTCTAGTTGCTTGCATTATGTGGAGTTTGCTTGAGCTTACTCATATGGCATATTTGCGAATTAAAGACGCGTAAGATGAAGAGGAAGTAGTTGTAGTATTTGGCCACGTACTTCAGATAACCTTAGTCAAGGGTGCAAATGCACAGCTGGAACTCAGTTGAGTGGCAAAGGAGGACACGAGTATGTGGAGTTAAAGTAAGTAATGCAAACATGAACAACTGTTAGTTATACTGTTAGTTATACCCCAGAAAATGTGTATTTGACTTATGCAGGCATATCTAATGAGCTTTTAATAAGAATGCCTGCCTACATGTGCACTCAGCGGTCGCCCACCTTCGGTGATGGAGGAGGGAAACTTTGGTTTGCAGCTATTTACAAGGAAGTGTTGATTACATACGCGTATTAATATTTAAGTGTGTGCATGTGATATGAATTAAGTATATAACTTTGTATATGATTTATGTTGTCTTCTCGCTGCTGGGAGTTTTTTGAAATTTTTTCGCAACAATTTTCGAGGTAAAATGAGCAGGAGCTTGCAATTTCTTTCCAAGGATATTCTTTTTTTTATAATTATGTATTTGTGATTAGCTTCCTCAGAAAGCTTGAGAAATCTGTATAAGATTGTCCAACAAAGCAGTCTCTTTTCTCCACCTTCTACGGAAGATGACACGAAGATTATTTTTGTATCTACAGGCAAGGTTGTTTGAACTTAAAAAAAAGTATGCCAATCTTTTTATGATAATCTTCCGCAGTGATAGTAGATAGCCGTACGTGCTATTTGAGCTTATCCACGATTATAACGTCACATTGGCTTCAGGAGCGTATGGGAGCGCGTGGTATGACAGAGCACTCTTAGATTCCAAGTAATTGCTATTCGAACTTCAATGATTGTGACTTCTTCTTTCTCCCTCGATGCTCAAATTTCAAAGCCATTTAACAGCCTACAGAAGTTTTCCCTTCAGCAGTCGTTAGATGACAATTTTGGTCAGTATGTTTGCACCGATCAAGAAACTTTTTGTAAGTCGCGGCATAGATTTTCGAGCATTACCCCTATCGACCAGCTTCTCAAACTCTTATTAATCCAGAGCCTTGCTTCCCTCTAGAGCTCTTGATATCCCACCCGCACGTGTTGTGGTCAACCAAGGTAGTAGAGAGATAAAAGAGAGGGAGAGAGGGAGAGAGAGAGAGAGATAAAGAGAGAGAGAGAGATAAAAAAGAGAGAGAGGTAAGAATGAGAGAGAGATATAAGAGAGAGAGAAATAAGAGAGAGAGAGAGATAAGAGAGAGAGAGATAAGAGAAAGAGGGAGATAAGAGAGAGAGAGTGAGATAAGGGAGAGAGGGAGATAAGAGAGAGAGAGGGAGATAAGAGAGAGATATAAGAGAGAGATTGAGGGAGAGAATTTTCACTTCGCCACGACTGGTGTGTCTCTCCCACACCAAATTTGCTCTAATTTATATGGCTGTTGTAGTAGATCTCGCAAGGACTCCTTTTTCGTTGTTCTTTTGTCCTTATCCCGTTGATGGCACTTCTTGGACGCAGGTGGTGTAAGAAATTAGTCTTACGAGATCATTTACCAGCTGGGCAGAGGAATTTTCCTAATTAAAGGATCGGCTAATCCAAGCATTTGCCCTTAAATTGTGTTGCAAAATGTGTTTTCAAGGCTCGCTTATCAAAACAGTCGTCTCTCATCCGATGA